CAGATGGATCTTGATTGAAAGCAGAGAATACTAGAAAGATATTTACCTATGTTTTATTGACTATGTAAAGACATTTGAGTGTGTGGATCATAAGTTATGGATGACATTGCCAAAAATGGGAGTTCTATAGCACTAAATTATGCTCATGAAGAACCTATACATAAAACAAGGGGCAGTAGTTTGAAAAGAGCAAGGGGATATTCTGTTTTTTAAAATCAGGAAAGGTTTGTGTTGGAGTTGTATCCTTTCACTATACTTATTTAATCTGTATGGTGAGCAAATAATCCAAGAAACTAGATTATATGAAAAAGAACACAGCGTCAGGATTGAAGGAAGACTCATTAATGGTCTGCTATCTGCAGATAACACAACCCTGCTTGAAGAAAATTGAAGAAGACCTGAAGCACTTACTGGTGAAGATCAAAGACTATAACCTTTATAACATAAAGAAAATAAAATGTACTCACAACAGGACAAATAAGCATTATCATGATAAACAAGAAAAGATTGAAGTCATCAAGGATTTCACAATCAACACCTGTGGAAGCAGCAGCTAAGAAATCAAACAACTTATTTCATTGAGCAAATCTGTTGCAAAAGACTGCTTTAAAATGTTAAAAAACAAAGATGTCTTCTTGAGATTTAAGATGTACTTGGCCCAAGTCATGGTGTTTTCAGCTGTCTCATATACATGTGAAAACTGGACAAGAATAAGGAAGACGGATGAACTGATGCCTTGAATTACTCTGTTGTTGAAGAATATTTAATGTACCATGGATTTCCAGAAGAGTGAACAAATTGGTTTTGGAATAGCCAGAATTCTCTTTAGAAGCGGAGTTGGTGAGACCTCTTAAGAACTTTGTACTTGTTAACAGAAGAACCAGTCCCCATAGAAGGATGTCATGCTCGGTAAAGTGAAGGGTCAGCAAAAAAGAAGAAGACCCTCAACGAGATGGGTTGACACAGTGGTTGCATCAGTTGGCTGGAACACAGCAAGGATTATGAGGATGGTGTAGGATTGGGATGTGTTCTGTTCTGTTCTAGGAAATGTTGCTATGAATCAGAACCCACTCTGTGGCACCTAATAATAACAACAGCAACTACAACAACATGTATCAGAATTGACTCCATGGCACACAACAATATAAACAATAATCCAAAATATTGTCATTTCAATAAAGTCAATATAAAAAGTATTCATGATATATTTTTCATTCTTTTTTATTGTTACTAAAGCTTTAAGAAATATTTACAGCACATTTCAATTTAGATTAGCCACATTTCATGAACTCAGTAGCCATGTGTGTCTAATGGATATAGTACTGGATTTGGGAGTACTACAAACTAGAGAATAGAGGCCAAGTAGAAAGAATGAGTACAACATGCTTGTATAAATGCTGAGAGCTCTAACTAGAGGGGTTACTTTGCTCTCAAAAACTCACTGCTGATGAGTCGGATCCAACCTATAGCAACCCCCACTTGGGTTTCCGAGGTGGTATCACTACGGAAGTAGATTGCCCAACCTTCCTTCCGAGGAGTTTCTGGTTAGTTTGAACCGCCAGCCTTCTGGTTAGCAGTCAAATACCTTAGGCACTGAGCCACCAGAGCTCCCCCTCAGAAATCAGGGACAGATAGGCAATTTGTCAGGCCCAATGCAAAATGAAAATGTTAGGCTTCTGTTCAAGAATTAAGTGCTGTTAAAAAAATATGACTTTCTTTCTTCTACAGTCTTTCTCTCAACTTATAATGGTTTTTCTTCACTATATAATGCCATTCTAAATGAAAAAAGGAATTCCTTGGTGGTGCAAACAGTTAATGTGTTTGGAAGCTAAATGAAAGTTGGAGGTTCAATTCCACTGAGAGGTGGTTGGGAAGAAAGGCTTCCAAAAATTGAGCCACAGAAAACCCTATCAACCACAGTTTCACTCTGACACACATGGCGTGGCCACGAGTCAGAACTGACTTGATGGCAACTTTCTTTTAAATGACTATGAGTTAAATTTTAATTTTTTTGCATGAATTTTACTTATCATCTTTATATTGAGATTATTTTAAATACAATATAAGAGCAATTACTTCGTATGTAGAATCATGAAAATTATACAATTGTATTTCATGGGTTGTCCATGCAAGTATCCCATTTTTATCATATCAGTGAAATATTATTTTCAGGGCAAGCTGTTGGCTAATTCAAGGAAATAATAAGGGCAAGAAATGATGATTCTTTGTTGTTCATGTGTTTTAGAATGCCATTGCCTTCTTTCTGTATTCAAAATAAGTTCTGGTCCAAACAGAAAATGTTGTCACTTGGGAATAACATTGCCTCCCCACTTATTTAGTTGTACACATACACACTTAATCTTATACTTGCTTTGAGTCTTGTTTGGCTCCCACACATTATACATCCATGGAAATTCTGGATTCATAGGGCATTGTAAATGCTATAAAATGGTAGACACACATATAGTGCATATCTCCTCTGTTCATACACATGCTCCATTGTTCTATCTAACTTAATTTTCAAAACACGAGTTCAAAGATAGAATTATTAAGAATTTTAAGGTGGCAATAGTAGAGCATTAAACAAGCATGGACCATTCTGAGCATGTGAGCAGTGTGGCTGCACAGGTTGCATGTCCATTGACTCTAACAGCAGTATCAATCAATATACAGAGATAGAATTTTCCTAGAAAGAGCTTGAAAGAAAGGAACATATTACTATTTGAAAAAGGGAGTTAAATGACAGTCCTTTTAATATTTACAGGGAATACATAATCAATTAATGCTTATTTCCCCCATAATTCCCAAATAGCCAGAATGGAGAAAACACAAAACTTAGAAAGAAGTTTTGAAAATGAAAACAAAACAACAATAAAATATTTTCTAGAATACAGGTTTCTAGTAAATCAATAATATTAATTACTAAAAGAAAATTAACAAATTAAAATTTTTGAATTAACTTCATCCTGTAATATTCAAAGAGAATAAAGAAGTATAAGAGCTTAGAATTTTATTTATCTGTTAGTTGGTTTAAGATTTGCCAAGGGATAGGACTTGACTGTGGGAATGTCAACAAGCTAAGAATCTGTTGGCTGGAATTGAATGATAACTTGAGGGCAAACTATCTTTTTAAAACCTCAGCAGAAAGAAGACTTAGAAAGAGAGAACATTATTTCTTAAATGGGAGTTAGGATTGCTATGGAGATGCCACGTGGATGTGTTCTACAAATAGGAACATGCCAATGAATGGTCAGTGACAATATCATTACATTTGGGGAATCACTACTATGGTTTAAATCAGTCTTTCCAAAGGGGCACTGTGTATTATCTGCATCTTGTTTCCTAGCATAAAATTCAGATTTCTGGAATTCAACAGTTACTTACTGAATCAGAATTACTAGGACAAGGGAACAGGAGTTTATATTATAAAGATGTCCCCTGTGTAATTCTTATCCACATAAATGTTTAAGAAACATTGTTCAAGTCTCCTTTCTTCCCACAGCAATGAATATACTATGTTTATTATAAACTGTGCTGCTTTCTTTATAACCCAAATCACTAGAATTAAACAGCTGTTTAGTATTTGAAGTATTTAGAAGGCATAATACAATTCTGATGTGCTGAACTTGTTCTATTAATCATCTTGGTATATTTCAGAAATCAACAATACAGAAACAGACCATTACCTGAACAGCTGTAAGTTCAAGATGTTTATTAATATTGTGTTACCTGAATATAAAAGTTAACAGTCTAGATCGTTCAGATTTACTTTTGTGTTGGTATCAGAGAGGTAAAACAGATAAACTTTGATTGATTGGTGAACAGCTCATAGTGCTTTATTTTATCTCTAAGACATACTTTATTTTACTAAAGAAAAATGAAAATTGGAGATTATTTGAGTGGATGTATGAGTGCCTATGGCAGATGTGTGGTGGAAAGGAGTTATGTAACTATCAAAGAGAAGGCAAAATGTTTACTTCTCAATATTCTAATTTGAGATACACATACTATATTCTCACAAGTTTTCTAAAGATAATATAAAAATAATGTATATGCTGATGTTTTTTCACCTAGAAGCATAAGCTTATTGTTATCTCCCCTAAATAAACATCTCTTGATATTATTAACTTCCTTTTACTAAAATGGCAGACAATAATTGGGTTGATGGCATATACTGATGAAACTACTGAAGGCCCAGATAATATTTTTACTCACATTTTAAAAGTGCCAACTCTAAGCCTAGTGCTTCTCTCTGTTATAACAGTCTTCTATTTAGAAAATATATTTAATAATTGTGAAAATAGACAATTAATATATTTATCTTAAAAGATGGAATGTATTACTCATCAACTCAAAATGTTGGTTAATTAATAATTGATTTAAATATAAAACCAAAAATAATTCAAACTTAAATGTGTGTTACATAATTTTTTAAATTACAGAGGCAATGAGAAGGACAATCTAATCTAGTTTGGGGACAAAAGAAGATTTGCAAAATGTATTATAGAAGAGGTAACAACTAATTTACATCTTAAAAGACCAATAGGAGTTATCTAAATGATATATTACAGTTTCAGAAATGATAAAACCAAGAGAAAATGTTTTATACTATTTGAGCACAAAGTAAAAGAAATATGGGACATAGTGACATCACTTTGTTGCTTATAAACTACTGTTGACTAATGCATGATCCCTCTTTGGTAGGCTGTGGAACAAGAAGGAGTAAATCTACCACTGAAAGTGTCAGGATCGTTGGTGGGACAGAGGTAGAAGAGGGTGAATGGCCATGGCAAGCTAGCCTGCAATGGGATGGAATCCATCGCTGTGGAGCAACCTTAATTAATAGCACATGGCTTGTGAGTGCTGCTCACTGCTTTAGAACGTAAGTCCTGTATCTTGCAATGGAGTTGGGGTAAGCAAAGTGAAATAGGGGCTTGGCAGGAAGAAATACCTCATGAAGTTTGAAAGAAATTAGCATAAATTCAAGAAAGTATATACATCACAAATGTGTACTATTTGGTTCTAATTGGTAGAGCTGAGGAGTTTCATAATACTTGTTACAACAAGGCAGATATTGGGTGGGTTTCTTTGAGAGACCAAGGAATCAGGAAGCAGAGCTGATTCAGTTCCAAAGGGTAGGATCATAGCCTCTGGGAATGGGACTGCTATAGCCTCCTAAGTTTCAGAGTTAGATCTTTACCAACTCAATTTTGGAATGGGGGGCTGCTGTACATGAGTGCCAGTGTGATGGGGTCATAGTCACTGCCCAAAAGTGAGGGGGCAAGGCTGTCATGCCCAAGGGGTAAAAGAACAGGGCCTGCCAGGCCAAGGACATGAAGTTGCCACTCACATGGACATAGACTTGGATCATCCAATGAAGATGTGTTCAGGTACCAAGTTGACTAAGGGTGGAATGTAATAGTTAAGGTTGTGTTAACTTGTGTCTGCCATGGTTTTGAGTGCTTGCCAGTTGGATACAGTTATTCCCCATGATGAGAATGGAATAACTCGATAGTGGAATCTGCAGTGAGCAGTTAATTACTTGCCTTTGGGGTGTGGCCTGCTTCCAGTGTTAATGTCGAAGCTTCGAGGAAAGTCTGTAGCTGTTTGTCACATCTTGGATCCTACATTCAGCCAAGTCTTCATCTCTAGTTCCTGGACTTGAACCAGTGTCCTGCTGTGTTGCTTGTCAATTTTGGAATTGTTCTGAACTTGAACAAGTGGCCTGTCAGGTGCCTGTTAATCTTGGAATTGTGCCATTTTACTTGCTGACCTTGGGTTCGTCAGCCTCAGCAGCCAGCAGCTGCATGTGTTACAAAAGGTCTCTAGCTCCAGTGGTCCTGGAATAAAAGGCAGAGCTGTAGCCCAAGGTTGATGGGCTTTCACTTGGCCCCTGGAACTGGCACTCATAAACGCTAGAAGTTTTATAATTTGGAAATGGAAATGGTGTATTCATATTCATATAAATTATAAGGTGATAAATATTCAATAGGTTGTCAAAGGAAATAAACATTTTAAAGTTCTTTTTAAAAGACGTTAGCTTGATGTCAAGAAGACCCATATCTTTCCACTGCTATCAAGAATGAATGCAGGTTGGATGGTGGGTTGGATTCCAATAGGCCACTTCCACGTGGTAAGTGGAGGTGGGGGAGGAGCTAGGGCTGAGACAGAGCCTCAGGAATCTAGGTAAGGGTGGGTAGACAGGCCACTCACCCAGATGCGGCAGGCAGGGGGCAATCTAGGCCAAGAGAAAGCCATGGGATCCAGGTAAGAGGAGGGAGACAGGCCACACACCCAAGAGGCAGGAAGAGGAGGAGGAGCCAGGGATGGTAGAGCAGCAGGATCCAGGTAAGGGGAGGGCGGAGAGGTTCGAACAGCTAAGGAAGACAAACTTGTCTGTCAGTTTGTCATACTGTGGTGGCTTGCGTGTTGCTGTGAGGCTTAAGGCTGTACCACTGATGTGTCAAATGCCAGCAGGGTTGCACATGGTGCACAGGTTTTCAATGCAACTGATGTACTCAGATGGAATAGGAAGAAGGAGGAGGCCATCCGTTTGTCAAAAAATTGGCCAGGGAAAACTGTATAAATAGCAGAGAAACACTGTCTGATACATTACTGGGCAACTTTATGAATAACCCTGAAACATTGTCCAATACAGTGCAGGAAGATCAACCCCTTAGGCACTCAAAACATGTGTGAGAAAGAGCTGTATCATCAGAGTAGAAAGAACATTAATGATATGGATAAAGTAAAGCTTCCTGGACATCCATTTGCTGACATGGCATGACTCAAATTGAGGAGAAACAGTTGCAAATATCCATTAATAATTGGAACATTGAATGTATGAAGTATGAATTCAGGAAAATTGGAAGTTGTCAAAAATGGAATGAAATGCATACAGATTGATATCCTAGGCATTAGAGAGCTGAAATGGACCAGTTTTGGCCATTTTGAATCAGACAACCATATGATCGACTATGCCAGCTGTGTTAGACTGGGTTCTCTAGAGAAACAAAACCAGTAAAGCTTATATAGAGAGAGAAAGAGAAAATTATCTTAGAAAAATAGCTCACAGACTTATAGAAGCTGGCAAGTCCAAATTTCTTGGATCAAGCATCAAGCTGGAGGCTTTTCCTGACTCATGCAGCTGAAGGGGCTGAGGCTCTCAAGGTTGGCAGGCAGTATACTGGCTGTTGACTTCAACGAATGACAAATCCAAGATCTCCAAACCGAATGGTGGAGTGTTTGCTCACGGACAGTTGTAGGCAGCACAACAGAATCCCTATCTACAGAAGAATGTTTCTTTTCTCAGGATGTCCATAAATATACTGGAAGCAGTCCACACCCCTAGGGAAACTCCTTTTCAACGAATTGGCTGCTCAAAACATATTCATCTGATCTCATCATGGGAATAACCACATCATGACTGCTTAAACCACACATAATTGTGGGTTTAAGTTGACACACAGCTCCAATTATCACACTGGCAATGACAGTTTGAAGAAGAATGGCATGGCATTCATCATCACAAAGGATGTTTCAAGATCTGTCCTGAAGTACAATGCTGTCAGTGACAGGATAATATCCAAATGCCTACAAGGAAGACCAGTTAATATTATGATTAGGCAAATTTAGGCACCAACCACCAAAGCCAAAGATGAGGAAATTGAAGATTTTTGTCAACTTCTGCAGTCTGAAATTGACTGAACATACAATCAAGAAGTGGTAATTATCACTGGTGACTGGAATGCGAAAGTTGGAAACAAAGAAGAACTACCAGTAGTTGGAAAATTTGGCCTTGGTGATAGAAATAATGCTGGAGACTGCATGATAGAATTTTGCAAGACCAACAATTTATTCATTACAAATACCTTTTTTCAACAACACAAATGGCAACTATACACATGGACATCACTGGATGAAGTACCCAGGAATCAGATTGACTGCATATGTGGCAAGAGGCAAAGGAAAAGCTCAAAATCTTTAGCCAAAACCAGCTAGGAGCTGATTGTGGAACAGACCATCAATTGCTCATATGCAAATTCAACTTGAAGTTGAAGATGATTGAAACAAATCCACAAGAGCCACCATATGACCTTGAATATATCCCTCCTGAATTTAGAGACCATTTAAAGAATAGATTTGAACACCAGTGAGTGAAAACCAGAAGAATTGTGTGATGATAGAAAGAACATTATCCATGAAGAAAGAAAAAGGTCATGAAAAAGATGAGAAAGGAAGAAAAAAACAAAATGGATGTCAGAAGAGACTCTGAAAATTTTCCTTTAACAGAGAGTAGCTAAAGCAAATGGAAGAAATGACAAGATAAAAGACCTGAACAGAAGATTTCAAAGAACAGCTAGAGCAGAAAATTGCTATAATGAAATGTGCAAAGACCTGGAGTTAGAAAACCAAAAGGGAAGAACACACTCAGCATTTCTTAAGCTGAAAGAACTGAGGAAAAAATTTAGGCCTCATGTTGCAATATTGAAAGATTCTATGAGCAAAATAGGAGCTCTGGTAGCATAGTGCCTAAGGCACTTGACTGCTAACCAGAAGGCTGGTGGTTCAAACCCACCAGCCACTCCTCAGAAAGGAAGATGGGGCAATCTACTTCTGTAGCGTTACTGCCTCAGAAACCCAAGGAGAGGTTGCTATGAGTTGGGGCCAACTCGATGGCACACAACAACATGGGCAAAATATTGAATGATGCAGGAAGCATCAAGAGAAGATGGAAGGAATACACAGAGTCATTGTACCAAAAAGACCTGGTGGCATTTCAGGAGGTGGCATATGATCAAGAACCAGTGGTACTGAAGGAAGAAGTAGAAGCTGCACTGAAGGAATTGGTGAAGAACAAGTCACCAGGAATTGACAGAATACCCACTGAGATGTTTCAACAAATGGATGCCCTACTGGAGGCACTCATTTGGTTATGCCAAGAGATTTGGAAGACAGCTACCAAGCCAACTGACTGGAAGAGATCCATATTTGTACCCATTTCAAAGAAAGGTGATCCCACAGAATGTGGAAATTATCAAAAATATCATTAATATCACACGCAAGTAAAAGCTTATTGAAACTAATTAAAAAATGGTTGCAGGAATATATTGACAGAGGACTTCCAGAGGTACAAGCTGGATTCAGAAGAGGATGTGGAACAAGGAATATCATTGCTGATGTCAGGTGGATCTTGGCTCAAAGCAAAGAATACCAGAAAGATGTTTACTTATGTTTTATTGACTATGCAAATGCATTTGATTGTGTGGAGCATAACAAATTATGGGTAACATTGAGGAGAATGGAATTCAGGAACACTTAATTGTACTCATGAAAAACCTGTATATAGACCAGGAGGCTGTTGTTCGATTGGAACAAGGGGACACTGCATGTTTTAAAATCAAGAAGGGAGTGTGTCAGGGTTGTGTCCTTTCACCATACTTATTTAATCTATATGCTGAGCAAATAATCTGAGAATCGGAACTATATGAAGAAGAATGTGGCATCAGGATTGGAGGAAAAATAATTAACAACCTGCAATGCACTGACGACACAACTTTGCTTGCTGAAAGTGAGGATGACTGGAAGCACTTACTGATGAAGATTAAAGAATACAGTCTGGAGTAAGATAACATCTCAATATGAAGAAAACAAAAATACTCACAACTGTACCTATAAGCAGCATCCCGATATATGGAGAAAAGTTTGAAGTTGTCAAAGACTTCACATTGCTTGGTTCTACAATCAATCCCAATGGAAGCAGCAGTCAGGACATCAGAGGACATATACACACTGCCATTGAGTTGAATCTGACTCATAGTGACCCCTCCTTGGGTTTCTGAGGCAGTATCACTACAGAAGTAGATTGCCCAACCTTCCTTCTGAGGAGTGGCTGGTGGGTTGAACCGTCAGGCTTCTGGTTAGCAGCCAAATGCCTTAGGCGCTACTGCCACCAGAGCTCCTACTACACCATATATAGCACCGGGCAAATCAGCTGCAAAGGACCTCTTTCAACTGCTGAAGAGCAAAGATGTCTCCTTGAGGACTAAGGTGCGCCTGACACAAGCCATGGTATTTTCAGTCACCTCCTATGCATGTGAAAGCTGGACAATGAATAAGGAAGACTGAGGAAGAGTTGATGCTTTTGAGTTGTGCTGGGAAAGAATGCTGAGAGTACCATGGACTGCTAAAAGATCTGACAAATCTGTCCTGGAGGAAGTGCAGCCAGAATGCTCCTTGGAGGTGAGAATGGCCAGACTTCATCTCACCTACTTTGATCATGTTGCCAGAAGGGACCATTCCCTGGGGAAGGATGTCATGCTTGCTAAGATGGATGGTCGACGAAGGAGGGGAAGGCCCTCAACGAGATGGATTGATACAGTTGCTGCAGCGATGGGCTCAAGTATAGCAAGGATTGTGGAGCTGGCAGTGGAAATGGGCAGTGCCTCAATCCGCAGTGTGTAGGGTCACAATGAGTTGGGAAAGATTCGACGGCACCTACCACCAACAACATGGTAAGAAAGATAGTTCAGTATGAAGAAATATGGAAGCAACAAATTATACAACTGAATAGCTCAACCTGTTATATTCCAAGAAATAGATGACATTTTACCCTAGTGTTAATATGTCCACAATACACAGCATACTCTATGTATTATACAATGTACCTTCTATAGTAATGCCTTGTTAAATTATTGTATGACCTTCTTGGTTTTCAGAGAAAGGTGTATGTTTGTATATAGGGTACTTGGGCATATGAAATACATTTATTTCTTTCATTCTGCACAGAATATGCTTTCTAGATGTCCACTTGGAGACACCTATGTCCAAAAATGTCAAAATGTCCTAGGATTTGAATTGGGTGACTTGGCATGTATTTCCTAGGAAATGTGCCATTGTGATATTTCCTTTATGATTTGGCCCCAAGTCTGATTCTAGATTGGAAGGTTTTACACACACACACACACACATATTTAAATTTTATTTTATTTATACATATTTATACAATCTTCCCTTTTTCTCCCTAGGTATAAAGATCCAGGAAGATGGACTGCTTCCTTTGGAGTAACAATAAAGCCTCCAAAAATGAAACGAAGCCTCAGGAGGATAATTGTTCATGAAAAATATAAATACCCATCACATGACTATGATATTGCAGTTGCAGAACTTTCTAGCCCTGTTCCCTACACAAATGCTGTACATAGAATTTGCCTTCCCGATGCTTCCCACGAATTCCACCCAGGCGATCATATGTTTGTAACAGGATTTGGAGCACTTCAAAATGATGGTGAGCCTCTGAACAGAAACTCAAATTATAGCAATATAATTTGGCATTCTAATCCATTTAAAGAATATTAATTCCATTATGTCAAAATATGCTCATTGGTTGTCATGTGGACTTGGGCTAAGCCAGGCTATACTAGTGAACTATGTTTTCAGAAGACACATGAATTCCTTCAAGTTTTAAGTTCTATTAAATGCATTACTATTACTACAGTAAAGTGCTTGGTACGGTGTCTGAAAGAATAAATTGTGAATATGTCTCTTAGCCACTGAACTTTTTACTAAGGAATTAACCCTTAGGATATTAAAAACCAAAAAACCAAACTCACTGATGTCAAGTCAATTCTGATTTATAGCAACCCCTGTTGGGTTTCTGAGGTGGTAAATCTGCATGGAAGTAGATTACTCCACCTTCCTTCCGCAGAGCATCTGGTGAGTTTAAACCACCAATCTTCTGGTTACCAGTCAAATGCCTTAGGCACTGTGCCAACAGAGCTCCTTCTTAGTATATTAGAGATCATTAATAGATCCAATTGTGAAGGTAACAGAGACTCATAAAGCCATCTTTCTCCCCTACTGCAATTTCTTTCTAAGGTAAGCAATGGAGTAGAGACTATTTAAACAAATTGAGGTGCTTTCCTAAGTACCTAACTTTTCATTTAAAGTAGTTAGGAATAAATTTGATGAGCATTCTCTTCACAAATATTACTTTATCTGAAAATTATATACTCTAAGATTCTATATCAGTGCCTAAACCAATAATTATGTACAGTTTTCTCCAGATATATAAAATATATATGTATCCATAAGTACAAAGATTATTTTTTTCCCTTTAGGTAGCAGTCAAAATCATCTTCGGCAAGTAGAAGTGGACCTCATAGACACTAAAACATGCAATGAACCTCAAGCTTACAATGGTGCCATTACTCCTAGAATGTTATGTGCTGGCTCCTTGAAAGGAAAAAGAGATGCATGTCAGGTAAGTAGTTTTACCTATTAGTATGACACATGCTTTTTTGGTAACTTTATTTTGAAATAGTAATAGGCAGTTGCAAAGTTAGTACAGAAGGGTCCCATACCATTTAACCTGTTTCCCCCAATGGTTAATAGCTCATATAACTGCTGCATTATTAGTGGTCATCAAGTCAGCCTCTGACTCATGGCAACCCCAAGTATTGCAGAATAGAGCTGCTCTACAGTGGTTTCGTAGTTGTACTCTTGATGGAAGCAGATCACCAGGTCTTTCTTTAAAAACCATGAAACTGATGTAGTACAATGTGTGCTTATCATTCCATGGTATTTTATCACATGTATAGATTCATGTAACTAACATCACAATCAAGATGGAAAACTACTCCATCATAACAAAAATCTTCCTTTATAGTAACACTCATTGCTTTCTTCCATATCATCCCTAATCCCTGGCAATCACTAATCTGCTCTCCATATTATAATTTGGGAGCTCTGGTAGCATAGTGGCTAAGGCACTTGACTGCTAACCAGAAGGCTGGCGGTTCAAACCCTCCAGCCACTCCTCGGAAGGAAGGTTGGGCAATCCTACTTCCGTAGTGATACTGCCTCGGAAACCCAAGGAGGGGTCGCTATGAGTCGGGGCCAACTCGACGGCAAATAACAACAACAACATATTATAATTTTGTCATTTTGAAAATGTTATATTGATGAAATCATCCAGTAACTTTATTTTAGTGGTCCTTTTTAATTATCTATAGTGTTTTTGATGATCTCTTTATGGAAATTTTTTAGTTCCTCTAGATAATCTACTATACATACATAACTTGTTACAGTCTTTTGGTGTCAACATTTTCCTATTTCTCCATTTATCATATTAAGTATTAATAAGTATAAATGTAAATGATAAATATTTCCTCTATACATATTGAGAACCATTTTGGACAATAGCTTTAATTGTCAAACATAATGTAAAAAACTCAAAAGGAGAATGGAAGTCTTTGTATTTACCCATAGTTTTGCTTTTTATATTGTTTTTCCCCTCTTAATTTTCCAAGATTTTTTCTTTTATCAATTCCTTTAGCTGTTCTTTAAGGTGGATATAACAGTGACAGATTGTCTTAGGCTTTTTTTTTTTT